GCATAAAAAGATAGGCCCATTTGCCAAAAAATGCAATTTTGGGCATTGTTGACTTTTGATAATTCTCCAAAAATTGCCAACTTTGACAATGCATATCTCCTTCAATTTTGATCCTAAGAGGGTGTTTTTGGACTTTTTAGAAAGCTTATGATGTCCCCTAAACAAAATTTTCAATTTCATTTCAATTGGATCTTCTATTCTCATGTATAAGCTTTGACCTAAAAGGTATTTTTGTTGACTTTTGGAATGACCTATAATGTATGAATTCATATCTTTTCATGAGTGCATTTCTTGAACTTGGTGGGATGAATATGATTTGTAGGGAATTGGATTATCTTCAAAATGAGCCTTGGATGGAAAATTTATGATAAAGTATGAGAAAGTTATGCTTGGTCAAAGTTTAGTTGACTTTTCCTGAGAAACCCTAATTTAGCAACTTTTGAGTTTTGATGAATTAGGAGCATTCCTTGGGGAATCATGATCAACCCTTGATCAAATGATGGATATTGTTTCAAAATATTGGTTTTGACCAAAAATCTTGGAGTTTGACTGTATGTTGGCCACAATTGACTTTTAACCTAATATAGTTAATTTTCAAACATCTGAGCAGTTGACTGGGCTAATTTCTTGTGCAAGGCATGAAATTTGGCATGGATGGTCTTGAGAACATATTAGGACTATGGAGAGAATATGAGGCCTTTGGAGCTCACCCATCTTGATGAAAATGGAAACCTATTTGGAGGTTCATTGCTTTAGGAGAGAGTTTGTCTGGTCAACTCTTGGGCATCCTTGAGCAAATTGAGGATCTCAATGAACATATGTTGAGTAAAATGGAAGGGACAATTTTGGGGTACAACAGAAGGGATTGGGCATGAGGTGGTGTCACCCTATACTCCACAGCATAATGGAACTGCATAAAGGAAGAATCGAACCATCATGAATATGGTGAGAAGTATGTTGAAAGGCAAGAATTTACCTAAAGAGCTTTGGGGTGAAGCTGTGTCGACTGCAACATACATTTTGAACAAATGTCCTATGAAGAAGCTAGAAGGAATTACTCCAGAAGAATTTTGGTCTGGTGTGAAGCCTAGCTTGAGTCATCTGAAGGTATTTGGATCTATTTGACATAGACATGTGCCAGATTAGTTGAGAAGAAAACTTGATGACAAGTCGAGTCAAATGATTCTAGTTGGATATCATTCAATAGGAGGTTACAAGTTGTTCGACCCAGTGAACAAGCGGATTATGATCAACAGGGATGTGATCATAGATGAGCTTAAAGAATGGGATTAGACTGAAAAATTAAAGAAAGATTCATTGGGAATCATACTTGAAGAACCAGAAACTCAAGTCGAAAGAGAAGTTCGACAAGAGGAGCTGGCAGTTATAGATCAACCAAGTACAAGCAGACCTCAAAGAACAAGATGCATGCCTGCAAGATTTCAATATTGTGTGATTACATCAGATAATGTGATAGATAATGAATGTGAGTTGGTACATTATGCTTTCTATGCAGATGTCGAACCTGTCAATGCAGCTGAATCATTAAAGGATTCAAAGTGGGTGAAAGCAATGAACGAAGAAGTAAAGTCTATCGAAGACAACAACACCTGGTCACTTGTCGAATTTCCTCAAGGAAAGAAGATAATTGATTTCAAGTGGGTATACAAATTTAAAATGAATCTCAAAGGGAAAGTAACTCGACACAAATCAAGGCTTTTGGCCAAAAGATTTCTACAGAAAGAAGGAATAGACTTTGATGAAGTTTTTGCACCTGTTGATAGGATCAAAACAATCAGGTTGGTTGTTGGTCTAGCAGAAATAAACAGATGACACATATTTCAGATGGACGTGAAGTGTGCATTCCTAAATGTACCATTAGACGAAGAAGTTTATGTTAAACAACCAGTTGGTTTTGTGAAACATGACGAAGAGAGAAAGGTGTACATGCTGCATAAAGCCCTGTATGGATTGAAACAAGCTCCAAGAGCTTGGAATAAGAAAATTGATAGTTTTCTAAGGGAGAAGGAATTTGTGAAGTGCACAACTAGACATGGAGTATATGTAAGAATAAGCAATAATGAATTGCTTATACTATGTCTCTATGTAGATGATTTGTTGATGACAGGTAGCTGCAAAAGTGAGATTGAAGACTTCAAAGGTGATCTCAGCAAGGAATTCGAAATGTCTGGTCTGGGTGAGATTTCATATTTCCTTGGTATCAAATTCTACAAGAGCATTTGAGGTTTGATGATGCATCAAAGAAGATATGCAAGAGAAATTTTCAAGAGATTTGATATGGAAGAATGCAACTCAACTTCGACACCTGCAGAACCAAGACTGCAACTGTCAAAAGATGCAAATGAAGATGATGTCGGCCCAACCTAATACAGAAGACTTATTGGGTCATTGAGATACCATTGTCATACAAGGCCTGACTTAGCATATAGTATAGGTATGATAAGTAAATTCATGCAAAAGCCAAAGATATCACATCTAGCAGCGGTGAAGAGGATACTAAGGTATCTCAAAGGAACTCTTGACTATGGAATTTTGTTTCCTGCAACTGATAAAGGAAAAGAATACAAGTTAGTGGGATACACTAATTCGAGTTGGTGTAGTGATGTTGAAGATCGAAAATCAACAGCATGATATATGTTTATGTTAGGAAGTGCACCAGCTGCTTGGAGTTCAAGAAAGGAACCAGTAGTGACATTATCATCATGCGAAGTAGAATACATAGTTGCTTCTCTTTGTGCATGTCAAGTAACTTGGATGGTGAACTTGGTCGAAGAGATAATAGGGAAAGATCATGGAGCAATTACCATGAAGATCGACAACATGCCAGCTATCAAACTGGCGAAGAACCCGATAACACATGGTCGAAGCAAGCACATCGAAATGAGGTTCCACTATCTTCGAGAGCAGGTAGCAGATGGGAAGCTGAATTTGGAACACTACAGAACTGAGAATCAGATTGCAGACATCATGACGAAGGGTGTGCATGTCAAAGTATTTCGAAGACTAAGAGCTATGATAAATGTAGATAGCTTAGACACAATGAAATTAGGTGGTGTGTTGAAAGTAATTCCTTGTGTCAAAGCAGTTTGCTCGACAGAGACAAGGGAGTGTTGAAACAGTGTGTGTCGAAGGGAGGTTGCCCAGTCGAAGAGCTTGTGGATCGAAGTAAACTACACACATATTTGATTGGTTTTAGATTTAGATAGATTTTATTTAAATCTAAAATAGATATATTTGATTTAGTACCAAAATAGGTATTTTGGGTTTTTATAGTTTTGAGCTTTGACTTAGGAGCAAGCTAACCTAAATCTATAAATAGAGGGAGTAACCCCTATTTTTGTAATCAAGACAATCAAGTCAATTAAGTTGTATTCATAGAATTTACAGTTGCAAGTGAATAACAAAGTTTTCTACAGTTTGTAGGCAGAGAGAAACTCTGTAGAAAATAATTGTTTTCTTTTCTTTTCTCATAATTCATTGTCATTGTGTGGTGATATCAATCTTGTTCATCAAGATTGATAGAAATTCATCATAGATATTTGGTATATTTCCAACACATTTCACTCTCCCTTCTTCTTTTATCAATTTTTTTTCTATTCTTCTTTCTTTTTAATTTTAATTTTCTCTTTAATTCTCAAATCAAATATTCATTAAATTACAAGATTTTTTCTTCAAATTTTTCTCTTCTTCTATTCTTCCTAAAAAAAGATCTAGTATTAATTGAAATAAGAAATGTCTTCGTCAGGATTGTATTTATTATTATCAAAAGTGAGATTTTTAAACGAGAATGAAGAAGGAAAAATAGATTTTAGGATTTTCAACTAAGAGATTATAGATTTTGTAAATTTAGATTTTAATGAGAAAGAAGATGATTGGGAGAGAAAAATATTGATTTAGAAATTCAAATTTATTTATTTATTTATTACTATTTTGTAATTTTAGTTTTTTTTATTTATCACTACCGATATAATTCAGTTCGAAAATCAGTTCGTATTAAATGATTTTAGTTTCTTCTTAATCACACTTGTGGATGATGGAACGTAATCCTCCATACTTTTAATAACTACTAAATTATATGATTTTAATATAATATAAATTTAATTATACATGTGGATCCCTTCGTATCATAATATTATTTACCATCTCATTAATAAAATATCACATTATTAATTTTAAATGTTTAAATTTGAGCGGAGGACTAAAACTGTTAAAAATTGAAATGAAAAAACTAATTTTATGAGAATTAAAATAAGAAGATAAAATGTAATTTAGCCTAAAGTATATATATCAATGTCAACTATTAAAATATATAACAATAAATATTTAAATTATTTAAAATTTTGTTCATAATCATTATGATAGTATAAGCAACATCTATAAAATATAATAAAAAATATAATAAAAGGAAAGGAGTTCGTTGATAAGGTACACATGTCAAACTCTCAATCCTTTTGCTATTTTTAACTTTTGCTATAACAAATTTTCTATTAATATAATTATATTTATTTTTTAAAATTAAACAAAAAATATTCTAAAAGACCTATTTGTTGTGGGTCATAGTTTCACAAATTAAGTCTGCTCGGGCCATGGAAAATTGCAACTGTCGCCTACCTTTCCTCTTCCCTCAGAAAAAATTGGTGAAATTGTGTGATATTTAAATTCTCTTAATGCACAATTCACATTATGCCAAATGGAATTTCCTCCAAACTGAGCTTGAAATCTCTAACATTACTAAACTATTTTGTTGGCCAAGATCCACCCGATTTCCTAATGTAGTATATATATATAGCAATCTCAGTCCAAGTCACAAGAAATTTCTAATCAAGAAATATTCATAATGAATGAATATCCATATATAATTTTCTTAAATAGATTTAAAAAAGAAAAAACTAAAACAAAGTTGTTTGCCTTATAACATCCCAATGACAGATCATTCTCTATAAAATTCCGACTTCGAATCGAACTCGGGTATGTTATTGCTATCTATTAGAAGATTGATGTTGTTTGCCATTAATTCCCACTGGTTTCTTGATCCTCAAAATTTGAATCCTTCTCTGTCTTGCTTGAGCTGCCCTTACTTTACTCAAATCTATATTTGCTTCAAATGATAAGTTCAAATCAGGTATGGATGATGGGCCCATATTATCACTGTTTCGGCCCAATGAAGATGATGATGCCACTCCAAACGACGTCGTTGGACCCGGCCCAAAATTGTTGGCATGATGATTGGGCATTTGCATATTTTGCTTCTTTTGCTCCTGATTTTGAGTAGTGGAATTGGAAGTGGTGACTGAATTTTTGATGATATCATTCAATTTCATTGGGTTATTAATTTCTAAATTGGGGTTTTTGTATTCACCTTTTGGACCATTAATATCTAGCTGTAAAAATAGCAATTTCCATAAATCAAAAAACAAGATTGGCCCCACCATAGATAGAATACAACAAATGTAAAACAAATAAGTCCAAAAAAATAAAATAATATGGATCTTATGAATAAATAAAGGATAAGCAAAATAATCCCAGAAACCAAAAAATGAAAGTAGATGAAATTTTGTGAAAAAATTGGGGATTCATAATAATAAAGAGAAAGAAAAAAAAGAGCATACCTCTTTCCCCTTTGCTTTCAATTTGGAATTGAGTAACTTCAATTGTTCATAACTACATTTCACATTTTCAATCTCCTATTTGTATTTTAAACATCAAACATTCAGAAAAACAAAAAAACGCATTTCATGAAAATTCTAATAATATCAATTAAATAAAAAAACTTACTTGAGTAATGGAGTTTTTAGTTTTCGTCAAATCTTCAATAATATTAAGATAGTGCTCTTTCTTCTGTTAAGAGAAAAAAATTACAACTCAAATTTCAGAAGAAAAAAAAACAAAAAAAAAATATAAAACAATAAAATTGGGTATTTCTTTCCACAAAAGAAAGTTAATATGGCAAAAAATAACAGAAAAACAAAACAAAAAAAAAAACAAGAAATTGCAAGTTTACCCTTTTGAGAGAAGTTCTTTTTTGGGAATGTTTGGGTTTGTCATCTGATTCAGTTGTTGGAAACGAATGAGGGGTTGTTGGACTTGAAGCTTTGAGTTTAACGGCGTTAGACGATGGAGGAGGAGGAGGAGGAGGAACAACGGTGATGGTTGCGGCGGCGCCATTGGAAGAAGGTTTATTAGGAATTGCGGATCTCTTGTTTCTACACCCCCATGAGTAAGGTACATGACTGAACAAAGGGAAAGTATGATGCAAATCAGCAATAATTTCAGCAGCTTCAATTTCACTCTCTAACCAAACGCTACTATTCTGTTCCATCTCTCTCTCTCTCTGTGTTCTTTTGGGTTTGAAATTGAAAGAAAAAAAGATTTATAGATAAAACAGTGATTGAAGAAGAAGAGGAAAAGTGAAAGAAAAAAAGATTTATAGATAAAACAGTGATTGAAGAAGAAGAGGAAAAGTGAAAGAAATGCGAGAAGTTTGCGAAATCCTCGTTCTTCTTATTTTACGGCACAAGAAAAGGCTTAGGTCTTAAGCTGCTGACACGTGTCCATTGCGAAATCCTCGTTCTTCTCATTACCTAACTAGGGTTTATGGCTCTTTTCTACTCAAGACAAGTTTGTGCATATTACTCATGGGATGGGAGGGTACGATTTTTTTGGGTGAATGGATACTCAAGTCATTTTAATTTTTTTTTATATAAAATATCTATATATTTTTCACTTTAAAATATAAAACAAAACTATTATTTTTTAAATACAGACAACATTTATAACAATATATGATGTGAAAACAACCAGAAGCCTCATCCCGCAAATAATAATAAATAAATAGTCGACAATAAACATTTAGTAATAAATAATTCACAATTGAAATTTGTTAGTAAAGGAAGTTATTTACAATAAAATGTGTTACTAACCTCCAATGTTTACGACGATAAGAATGCAAATCTAAAGTACAACTTTTACACATACTCTCTATATTTATTATTGTTTTCTATTTTATTTTTTCATATTAGTCTATGTGGGACTACATAATCAAACTTCATCTTTAAAATGTAAAAGATCATCTCCATAATTAACCATGTTTCTAAAAGAATCACTTTTCAACTTCATTGTCTTCTTTTCTAGACATGAAACATGTATATAACTGTTAGCTCCTAAATTCGACACCCATGTTTATTATCATATAGACTATTAAGTAAGTCAAAAGAGTTTCCTACATAAGAAGGCTTCGACCAGCTGATCGTGTCGAAGGCTCATCAAAGAATGACAAGATACTTAGAGAAATTCTTTTAAGTTGGAATCTTGTTGTCTTCGACGTCGAAGGAACCTCTCGACAAAGGTACCTGATGCCCAAGGTCGAACGGTTTGAGATTTGAATTGTTGGAGGGAAAACGGTTCCCAGCAGTTACCAAGTGCAACGTGTCGAGAACATAAGCGTCGAAGGTTGTGAGCGTGCCATGTGGCGTCATCTCGAAGCGGTGTAACTGCCCAGCGGTTACTTAGGATTTGTTTTAGTATAAATACTAAGTGTTCACGTAGTTTTTGCGTGTGTTCATCATTTTATACAAGTTACTCATTCAGATTCAAGTACCCAGCGTGAGAGAAAGAATCATTGAGAATGTATGTGTGAAACACCATTTAAATTAATCAAATTCTTTTATATTCAAGCAATTTACCGTTGTTCATTTATTTACTTCCGTCGAAGCCTTTTTATTCAACAATTCCTTAACGTTTTTATTTATTCTATCAAGCTTTTCTTCATGCAATTTATTTAAAGTGTCTTTACTTTATTGGCATTAATCACCATTAGGGTTAGTCAAACTCCAGAAAATCAACCATGTCTTAGGATCAATCTGATCGATCCTGCGAGTCACCAAATAAGTAACCTTTTGAAAGATCAGCGGTTGTTTACCATTTTTTACGGTAAACAAATTGGCACACCTGGTGGGACCTTGTGTTGATTTTCTTACGATTAACCGTTTTATATAAAATATCCTCCTTTTTCGAGAGTATTGTATGTTATTGAGAAGTGGTAGAATATACACCAACGAAACCAATACTAGGAGAAGAAGTGGAGAAATGGCGAATCCGCCAAACAACGGAGAAATCCCACAGACAAATGTGGGAGCAACGGTTATCCCAACCGTAAGTGAAGTGGTAACCGCTGGTTCAACGCCAGCAGTAACGGTTACACAAACGGGGCCATTACCTCCATTTACAGGCCCCAGAATGCCTTTAGGAACTCCCCCACCAAGGGGAAACCAAGGAACTAGGCCATATGTTCCCCCAGGCTTTTCGACAGTCGGTTTAAATCGAGAACCACTCTATGGCATGCCAACTTCTGAATTGGCTAGCCTGACGAATGCTACGTCCACTTTTTCAAATCCTTTAGTGAGTGCCTCTTCGCCACTCCAAGGCTCTGGGGTTGGTATGGCGAACATGTGTAGGACCCAACTCTTAGGAGGAACGTCCCAAGTAATGCATGGAATTACGAATGCCTCGACAGCAGTCCTGAGGCAGCAAATGGACGAAAGCAACCACGACATGGTTCAAATGTTGGCGCAAACTTTAAGTACAGTGCTAAATCCTCTAATACATAATACCACCCAGTCGAATCAGCAAATGACAGCGCAAATGTCGCGTCTGGCTGACTTTTTTGGGGTACCCCAACCTATTCGACAGCCTCAAAGGGCACAAATAAGGGGGAACCAAGGCATACTTCTAGAGGAAGAAACCACTATTAACCAAGTCCATCAGCCTGTCGAAGAGAACCTTAGGGTACAAATGGAACAACCCGGGGTCGAAGAGCCTAGAGTTATAGCCCCAGAAATAAGGATGGTTAACAGAAACCAAAACGCTGATGAAGTAGTTTAGCAGATCCAATACCAGAATGTTGGTTTGGAGAATAACTTGACAGCCATGATTGAAAGAATCATGATGCAAAATGGGATGAATACGGGCTTCCGTAGGCCCAACTTCACATCCCCGCTGTCGGAATATGTGTTACAAACGGACTTGCCTCCTAGATGCAAAGTCCCTAAGTTCACTAAGTTTTCAGGGGACACCACAGAATCCACTGTCGAACATGTGGCGAGATATTTAATCGAAGCATGAGAGATTTCAAACAATGAGAACTTGAGGATTAAGTATTTCCCAAGTTCCCTAACCAAGAATGCGTTTACTTGGTTCACAACCCTCCCCCCCAATTCGATCCACCATTGGACCCAATTGGAGAGATTATTCCATGAGCAATTCTACATGGGACAAACCAAGATAAGCCTGAAAGAGTCGGCCAGTGTAAAGAGGAGATTCACTGAGCCTATAGACGAATACCTAAATAGGTTTAGATTGCTTAAGGCAAGATGCTTTACGCAAGTGCCAGAACATGAGTTAGTCGAAATAGCCGCAGGAGGTCTAGATTACTCCATTAGGAAGAAATTAGACACTCAGTACCTGAGGGACATGGCCCAATTGGCCGATAGGGTTCGACAGGTAGAACGCCTTAAAGCTGAAAAAGCCAGGGCGACGAAAACTCATAAAAGAGAAAGGATAGCCTATGTCGAGATGGACGATGAAGATCCAGAAACGTTCGACGAACCTATAACCGTCGAAGAAAGTGAGGTCGATTTAGCTGAGTTAAAACAAGAGCCACCATACTCTTGCAAACTACTAGTCCCCTCAAGTGAAAAAAACCCCAAAGGTTCTGAAAAGGTCAATGATAGGTTCCCTAAAAAGACTTACAGTTTTGATATTACAAAATGTGATGAAATTTTTGATTTACTTGTAAAAGATGGCCAAATGATAATACCCCCAGGGGTAAAAGTGCCTTCTCTTGATCAAAGAAAGAAAAGAGGCTATTGTAAATATCATAACTTTCTGGGCCATAAAACATCTCAATGTTTTCTTTTCAGGGATCTCGTGCAGAATGCTATCGAAGAAGGGAGGCTGAAGTTCGCTGATAAGGCCCCCGTGAATGTGGATTCGAGCCCTTTGCAGGCAGAAGCCCACTATGCTGAACCTTCAAAGGTGAATGTGATCGAAGCTTCCAGAAGTCAGGTGAAAAGGCCAGGGATAACCATGGTCGAAGTCACCAAAGATCATATCAATATGCCAATCTTTGGCAGTTTTTCTGGGAACCTTTCTAGAAAGACAATTGAAGCAGTTCAAAAGGCCGCTGAAGGTCCAAAACTAGAGACTGTTGGAGCCTCAAAATCTGGGATTAAACCCGTTTCCTACTTGGCTGCAGTGCAAGGCCAGACGAAAGACCTGGAGGCTCAAATGAAGCAAATGACTCTTGCCACTAAAGACAACATGAATGTTAACATGGTCGAAATCTCTGAATCAAAAGTTTCAAAGGAGACCATTAGGCAAGAGCAAGCAAACAAAACAGCTTTTCCTCTGGAGAACGAAAATCTGGCAGAATTCTTGCAACGATGCCAGAAGAAAAAATCAGAAGTGATGCTGTATCCTCGATGCAGCTCTATTTTTGACAAGAAAGCTGCTGAACACATCGAAGGTGTGAGAGCAGCGAACAGAAATTGGAGCAGAAATGCCCAAAAAGGTGCAGGCTCTGATGCTCGACACGATCCCAAAAGAACCTATCAAAAGGGTTCAAATCAGAAAAGGAGGCCACCAACTTTCAGGCCTCCAACCAATGTGCCAGTTGATACATGGCTAAAAACATCGAGTCGAAAGAGACCCAGCGAAGAAAGGTGGAATTCCTTTGAAGTTCCAAGAGGTTCATCTTTGACACTCAAGAAAGAACCTCATGTAGGTGCCTCTGAAGTGACCCAAGTATCAAGTAACTACAAGGGAAAGAACCCAATGTCTCGATCCCAGTGGAGAAGATACCAAAGGCGGCGCAAGGCTGAGAGAGAAGCTGTCAACGAACCAAAACCAGAGTCAAGTTCAAATGTCCCCCAGCGAAATCATAGAAAGCCTTTGGAGAGGGAACCGGTGTCCAATAGGTTGGTATGGCTTGAACAAGGTGAAGCTGGTGACGAAGATGGCTGAGTCTGACGACACATTAGACATCATGGTAAATATAGTTTCAGTTTTGCCAATCAAATTCAACCGCCAAATGGAAGTCGAATCAAACGATTGGGAAGTCGAACAAGAGATGGCCAATCATAGGCCAGTTTGTTACTTTGTCATGGGTAATGGCTGCACTGAAGAGCAGAATGGTTTCTTCGAACCACCAACTGAGGCGATGAAAAGTCACCTCAAGCCTTTATTTATAAGGGCAAAACTCGAAGAGGCCACTGTAAATAAAATCTTGGTGGACTGTGGGGCAACCATCAACATAATCCCCCA